TAGGGTTTAGGGTTTAGGCTTTTCAGTGCTTGGGGCTTGGGGACTTTTTGAACTCAATCGTCTATATGACCTTCGTTCAGGTTGCTTCGACTTCATGCTGCGTCTTGCAAGGGCTATCACAGCCACAGTACATCTGAAACGAGCATCTCCAGGAGGTTCAAGGACCGTGTAAGCAGGGGCTAGGGGGCTTCGGATTCAAACGTGTCCGAACTGAGGGCGCCGCAAGATAGAAGGAGTTCTCCGACCTCGACAACTCTTTTCAGTTTTGGGTTCGAGTTTCAAATGTCCTGGGATTCAATGTTCGGGACCCTCGGTATTTGCAGCAGCGGCCGAACTCGATTAGACTACGGTGAAGTCGGATCATACTCTTCCACCTGAGCCTAAAGTCGTAGATCCCTCTATAGCACGGAGGCACTTCGGGCAGAGAATCTAAGCCCCAGGCGCAATATGCAAAGCTTGAACTCCTAACCTCGGACTTCAAAACCCAGAACCCCGAACCTGTAGCCCCCCAAGACCCCGAAACTCTAAACCTCAGCCCTTGGCGACAAAACTTGCTGGGGCTCGGATGCATAAGCCGACATAAACTTCAAAGCGCTGAGATTCAACACCACCAAAAATCAACACTACCCTGGTGACTTCGAGACATTGAGAGATCCAACACCGACCAAGTGGCTCGAACCACTCGAAGAGTCGGACTATGTGAGGATGATCGAGCTTCCTGAGCACCTGCTTGGGAAGCCAACGGCAGACTCCCTGTTGTGCAAACTCTCTTCTAGGCGCAAGCAAATCGACAATGTCTAGCTCCACCCATCCAAATCTCGAAATCTTAACGTGACCATTCAAATCTGGCAAAGGCCGACGTAGCAATTTGAAAGGAAGCCGCCAAACCTGAAACTCGCCGTCAGGCACCCTGAAACCATGTCCCAACTCCATGGTGCGAAAACACCTGCGACGCAAGACCTCTGCGCTCATGAACCCGAAACCTTGACCCTGGGACCCTGAACCCTAAACGGTTTAGGGTGTAGGCTTTAGGGCTTAGGGCCTTGAACCGCCAAACTCTGAACCCTAAACCCCGACCCGAAACCCTGAACCCTCGGGGACTCCTCCATCTCCCGCTCGATTTCCTCTTTCGGCACCTGCATGGTGCCGTGGAGACAGAACACCCGCACACACTCCCAGGAACTCAAGATGCAGGGTTGTGGGTTTATGAGGGACCCTGAAGTAGGACCCCGAATTAAGGGAATGTTTAGTGAGGGAATTTTGTTCAGGGACCCTGGAGCCCAAACCTTCCAACCCACACCCAAACTGAGAAGTTCAGAACTAGGTTCTTGTCATTAGGAATATTAGGACCTGGGGTCTACTTGTTTTCAGAAACTTCCGAATCTTCAACTTGTGGTTATGTCGTGTCAGTTTTGAAGCTTCATAAACCTATGGACCCTCCTCACGTCATCAACGGCCAGAATAGAAGGAAGTACGCTTGGAACCCTCTTTATGCCTGAACACAAGCTATGGTCCAGGAGCTCTGCCCTACTTAGATTCGGTTAAACCGAGACCAATGAGCAGCATAGCCCCACTTACAACCTGCTAAGCACGTGCCCTGACCTTCCAAGCTTCAAGTATCAACACACCAGAAAAAGAAACGCAAACAAAAAACACTGCGAGGACTGCTTGGACCCCGACAACTCCTAAATTCCGCCGACCTTCAAACTGAAACCTCCGCTATCTCGGCCTCCATCCGCTCCTTCGGAATGCGCTTGGCCACCTGAGACCACAGCAACAAAAAAGCCATCCGGCCGTTGAGCGCTGTAGGGCACAGTTGTTGATGAAGACTCGTTTCCAAGAAGCCCAACAGGATCTTTGGAGGTTTAGGGTTTGTTTGGGGTTCAAGGCTGCAGGGTTTGGAGGTCAACGTTGTCGGGTCTAGGGCTCAAGGCTCCTCGGGTTTAGGGTTTCGGGTTTCGGGTTTAGGGTCCTTCGCAAGGGGGACTTTTCCTTGCCTTTAGCCATGGACTGACAGTTGCGTTGATGCGACCAAACTTTAGCCGCCCTGCTGGGAGAGGTGGGGAAGGGAAGGAGAGCGTGAAAAAGAGCAGGTGTCGACGAACGCCCCGAAAAGCAGTCTGGTGCCAAGGGGGAGGCAAGGAAACAAGGGGAACAAAAAGTGGCCTTCTTTGTTGTCGCGGAAGTCCCCCTTATTGCAAGCACCCGGAGACTGCAAACCCCCTACAATATTGAATATACCGTAGATCATACCAGGGTTGCCATTACGTTTTGAAACAGGGGATTCGGAGTCTCTTGGAAGCTACAGTCCTCTGATGGAAACCACCGCTCCAATAAAAGGAACCTTGAGGCGGCATCAGACTCAGTTGATGTGAGAAGTAGCCCAAGAAGGAGCCAAACACCGGTGATTGAGGAGATTCCTAGATTGGTGCCTGAGAAATACGCGCTGCTTTTTAGACGCAACATGGGTTGGGAGAACCGCCCATGTTGAATTAAAGGCTCTCGGCATCTTCGGTTCTTGCCGACCAGGCGCCCGCTGTGTGCCAGCACGTTTGCTTTTCACCTCACCACCGAGGATAGATGTGTCTGGTTTTGAAGGTTTAAGGAGTTGCTTTATTGCGTGGTTCGCAAGGCTGAAAGCTTTTGTCATTCAGATAGTGGGCCAAGCAATCCAAATACACGCAAGTCTCACGCCCTCCAACCTGCACCGCAAGGATAAGCTGCTGACCACAAACACGAAGCCCGAAGGAGGGGCTAAAGGCTCTCGTGTCTTTGAAGATAGACCACGCAGCCGTGCCCAAGATTCTGTGGGGTTTGAGGCTTAGGGGGGGGCCCGGGTGCTCTGAAAGCCTGGCTTCGGTGGAGCTTCAAGAGCTTTATCAAGAGCCTCTGAAACCCAGGTGCAAAACGCAGAAATGGCCCACGAAGAGCAGTTCAACCCCCCACGTCAAAGTCGGCGGTCGGGTCCCCCGGCCCAGAAACACTGGCCGAAGAAGCCACTCCCGACGTCCTCCAAAAAACAGCAAGTGGCTCCAAAGCCGTGTCGGTTGCTTCGTGGCTTGCGACTTGTAACCCTAAACCCCAAACCCACTTCGTCGACCCCCGGTTCCCACTCAAAAGAGAGACTGGGAGATAGTCTCAGCAAGAACCCACGAAGTCAGTAATTTGTCACAAGGGGCGTAAGAACTAGTATCACCATTGTTCCTGCCGAGCCTCCTACTGTGAGTTCTGCTGTTGCTAAAACTATTAGTATTACGCATATTACGCTATTTCGCTACCACTACTATGCATACTGCTCGTGGATCTTATGCTTCCTGTGCTATTACTGCTTCTGTTCGTAACAGTCTTATAATCATTACCACTCAGATTGCTGCTAGCATCGCTAGTCTGGTGAGGCAGCGGTGTGCCCGGTTAGGACTATCCCCAAAGTCCTCCAAGGCTTCGTACTCCTCCTCCAGCTGCCTCAATTACCCAGAGACTCGAACATCGCGCACAGTTTCGGGTTGCAAGTCGAGGGCCTAGGCCTGGGATGTAGGGTCGTTTATAGGGTACTCAGCATGTGATTTTACATTCCCAAGGCAACTGTGGGGTCCGTTAAACCCCACAACCCTCAACCCCAAACACTACAACCCTAAACCCTTGAATGCACCAAGGCACTTCCGGTTTTGGGTGACCATCTGGCCTCTCGGAGCTTGAGCTTGGGCGGAGGTTTGAAGATCTAGTGTGGACCTCGGCCCTACGGTACGGTCTAGGATTTAGGGTTTAGGGTCTAGGGTCCAGGGTTTAGGGTTTAGGGTTTAGGACAGTAGGGTGCCTGTTTAGGGCCATGGCCTCCATTGTCACGCCTCATGTACGGAGACGGGAGCTGAGGGCCTCAGTTTAGGGACTTTGAAGTAAGTACACCCGAAATCCTGCATCCTAGATCTTGAATCCTGTCCACCAAGGCTCTTCTATAACGCATGCAAACACATTTCGCCGTCCCTTCTTCCGACACCTCGCGATACCTTGCAAAAAACCCGCCGAGGAGCCTGCTAAAGCCGAGTTAACAAAGGGGCCTGAAGAATTGGCATAAGGGGTATATTATAGTACAGCTATAATAAGGAACCCCCAAAGTTGTGTTTGGTAACTATTGAGACAAACTCTGCAAGACGGCTAAACACTCTTCTACCCCGAAACCCCTAAAGTAACCCCGGAAACCCCGGGAGGACGGCCTCGCCCCACCCGCACGCAGTAGGAGTCCCGGATGCGGCGCAGGACTTTCACCAGCACGGCCTGGAAGACCTCCAACGAGATCCTGAGCGGTCCTTTAAAAAAAAAGGGGTCCTTTGTTAGGGATCCTTGAATGGCTACATAAGGGTACTGTAAGGGATCCTCATCAAGCTATGAGCTTAAGGTCTAGCCTAACCCCTAAACCCTAAACCCTGGGAGTTTAGGGCTTAGGGTATAGGAGGTTTAGGAGGTTTGGGGTTTCAGAGCCTCAGGGTCTCGGCTCAGATTCGATAGCTTAGAGCTTGGAGCCTGCAAACCGTAAACCCCAACCCCGAAACCCTAAACCCCCAACTCAAAACCCCTAAATCCCTAAACCCTAAACCCGGATTTCTTTAACTGGACAGGCCCTGTCTACTCCGTTTTCATATCGGAGCTAAAACCCAGCCCTCTTCCCGGGTCTGCGTCCGAAGGCTCGACGGTTAGAGTCTGGGAAGGGCTCGTTCAATTAAGAAAGTCGGGTCCTTGGTTCTGGATTCCGCGTGTTTGTTGCAAGGTTACCTGGTTTACGGTTCAGGGTTTCGGGTTTTGGGCTTAGGACTTAGGGCTTTAGTTTGGGTTTGGGGTTCAGGCTTCCGGGTGTTCCTTCCGAGGCACGTTTCAGGTCGACGGCTGAACTGCATCTCCCTCCGCAGGACCGTCCAAAACCTCGCATCTCGAGATAAGCGACGTATCTGCATGTGTATATGTATGCATATATATATATATATATATATGTTTTTATCTATTTATTTGTATGTACACACATACATACATGTATGTATCTATGGTATATCTATATATGGACTCGAATAATCTGTGTAATATGAAGGTATATAACTAGACATATACACACATATATGCGTATATGAAGAGAGAGAGAGAGAGAGAGATACAGAGAGAGAGAGAGAAAGAGAGAGACCCGAACCAATCAGTAATATAAACATGAAGTGGCAGGAATACCGGGCCGGAATGCTTTCGGATTCTGCTATGCAGCAACCCACGAGAGCTTGTTCCAACTCACCTTACTACAGCTCTCGCTGTGATCTCTCTCGTCGCCAGTGCGACAAGTGTCCTTACCACGCTCTCGACCGTTACCATGCTTGCACATCCTCCCACTATTGCTGCCAGCACTACCATAACCACCACTATTAATCACCAAGAGCCACCACCATCACCACCACAATGACGACTGCTGCAGCTGCTGGTACTTCGCTTGCTGCCATTGCTAGTCTTAGCTTTCGCTCAGGGCTCGGAGTCCAGGATCCCTCAATCTTGGACCAAGAGCCTCCGACTCAGAGCATGAGCCGAGTGGCAAGGACAGATGCTGGGCCGGAATCTGCAGGTACTCCAGGACCTGCGTCATGGACGCAAGGGGCAGCTCGCTCTTTGTCAGCCGCTCGCTGGGATTCCTCAGATCATCAACTGAGGCTAGGCAAGAGAAGCCCAGTGTACTTCTGACCGGCATGGGGCCCTGCAAGTAGCTTTGAGACTTTTGGGGCCAGTAAAAGTATCAAAAAACCCTAAACCCTAAACCCTTGAACAAGGTCTCACGGTGGGGCCGCAGCCTCAAACCGAGCACTTAGGGCTTCGGGGCTGCTGTCGACGAACCGAGAACCGAAGGCTCCCTTCTCCGGAATCTTCTCTTGTGAGCTGGGGGGGTTTAGGGTTTCGGGTTTCCTGCTGTAGTGCTGCTACTACTACTACTACTACTACTACTACTAAATCTGCTCATCACAATTCTCAAACATGCAGCGACGAGAACCCAAGGTCGGTCGCTCTTGCAGTTGCGCTGACTACCAAGCAAGCCCACTAAGAGCTCAAAGCCTCGCCCTGCGCTGCTGGGAAAATACTGTGCCATGTTGCAGCGGCTTGAAGGTCCCTCATCGTTGTAATTATTCTTAGCATCGTCAGAAATATTGATAACAAGAATAGGACTTCATTAACTGTAAGTCGTATGAATATTAGTCATTGTTTTATAGTCTATCTTTGCCAGTCTTATTCTTAGTCTCTTCAGTATGACTCGATTTTCAGCATTATGACCTGATATGGCCTGAGGCCGGCATGGGAACAGGAAAACGACCTTGAAACTCCGGATCGACCGCTTGTTCGTGTAAGAATGCGATGTACCTCCGCATATCAATGAATTGCCGAGATGTTTCAAAATATCTGTGACAACAAGAGTCTGCAATGCGAACTTCTGGAACACGGTCGTGCTCAGTTTGGCGTAGGCATCGGGGCTGGCGATGGCTGCCGACACACGGTGCACCTCGATCGAAGGCTTTGACTCGGAGGTTGCAGAAGCACTCCATACCAACAGCAGCCTATATGAAACAAAGTACAATTCTTGTCTACATCATAGGCCATGCTACGACCTTGAGACCCATGCAAGAAACTAGCGTGCCACGCAGGCTGCCCTTCCTAAAAAAAGGGCCTAGGGCTTATAGGGTTCAGGGTTAAAGGTTTAGAGGGTAAGGTTTGGGTCACCTGAAGCCCCAAACAATGAAGCTTTGGCCAATGAAAGCCCCTCAAAGCGGCTTTTCTGTCATGCCGGCCCCTCAACCAAGCGCCGCAAATCAACTGAACCCTGCAAACCCCTTCAATCGACGCCGGCACCAAGGCGATGTGCTCGGGATCCTCGAAAACCTCGTGGTTCAGCGGAGGGTACTGCGGACCTGGGTCCACAGCTGCCGGGACCATTAGTGGTCAAGGTACCCAAAGATCCCAAGGGGCCCCGTAGTTGAGGAATACTCCTTAAATCAGAGTATTAAGACTCCTACCCTTCCCTCGGGATCTCTGAGTAGAGGTGGTACAGCTCGAGGTACAAGCAGTCTGGAAGTCGTAGTGCTGGTAGCGGTAGTGGCAGTGCCGGTTGTATTTGCAGTCGGGGTGTAGGTGGTGGTGCGTCGTCCCAGTACAGAATACTGCTACACTACTACTACTACTACTACTACTACTACTACTACTACTACTACTACTACTACTACTACTACTACTCTACTTGAGCCTTCACAACTGCCTACCCTCACTCCCATTTTTCTGGTATTACGAATACTATCACCGCCAACATGCGTAGTGATACGTCCGTTATGGGCTACAGCCTGGACCTTGTCTTGAACGCTATGCCCCTGCCTATATTATGACGACTGGCTGTAGAGCATCCTCCTGTCCTGAGAGCTGGGTCCCGCACCCATTTTGATGACCGCACTCAAACCATGTGAACTTTGTGTGAAAGCGCTTGTGTCCAGTGTAGCCCTGGACAGGGAAGAGCGGCCAAAGTAGCTGCAAAATCTAAGCTTGATACCGCCGACTGATGCAATCAGACGCAGCAGAAAACCAACAACAGCAGGATGCCGACAATCGAACCAACAACTGTGCAAGCATGATTCTGATCAGGCTGCACAATACCAAAGCAGGCGAAGAGGTAAAAGCAGCAATGGACATGTTTGGCAAATCTCATTGACCTCATGCGCCTCAAACCATCGTCGGCAGCTGCATTTGCCTGAGTCCAAAAGCTGTTATGAGCACAAAAGGGAAACAAAAATACGACAACTGATTTCAATGCGCCGTCAGTGCTTGCATGCATGCATACCGTCATGTGTCTGCAATGAAGCTCAACCAGGCAGCTGTTCGCGACATGGCTGGTCCGATCGGCAGCGAGCATAGCATGACGGAAGCTGCTGAATGCTTATCTGCTGGCCACACGATGTGTTAAATGCAGAAAGCCTTCCAGCAAACAGTTCTGAGCCTGTAATTTACATTGGCGATAGCAGGTTGGGGCGACCCGGATAAAGAGCTTGGAGTGTTGCGTTTTCCGACCATGAGGGTCCGGTCATAGCTACGGATAAAAGTTTTTGAGGACGTCTTGCTTGAGGTTTCCAGGCTTGCAAACATCATGAAGGCAAGCCTCTGTTGAGTTCTCCATGACACGTCATGCGATGTGAGCAGCGATTGCACGTACTGTCTTGAGAAACTAGCAAGATTGTTGATCATTCAGCACGCAAGGTCTGACCCTTTCAGATATATAGTTAAGGGGGCACTTAT